AATTTTGCTTGTGCTTCCTGGACGTTGATGGGAGGAGTCAGGATGATGCGGGCGGACTCCGTACGACTCGTAGATTCCAGCGGCGCTCTTTTCTCCATAGGGACTTCTTTCCAAATCCAGTATAAAATATTTTGTTGCTGTGGGCGCACGGTTGCTGTGGTGCACACAGGCGCATTGGTGCACACAGTCGCTGTAGTGCACGCAGGCATTGTGGTGTACACTGGGTGCTGTGTTGCACACGGCTGATGCGGTGTACGCATGCGCTGTGGTGTACACAAGCGCTGTGGTGCCCGCAGGCACTGTGGCACACACTGGCGCTGTGTTGCACGCGGCTGCTGTGGTGTATATAGGTGGTGTGGTGTACACAGACGCTGTGGTACACGCAAGCACTGTGGTGTACACAGGCGCTGCGGTGCAGATTGCCACCTACATCCTGCTGCTACCCGTCCTCGGTCACTCCCAATCATTCCCAGACGCCACCGGCGCGAAACGTGACGTCATCGGCCCCCTCCCCTCCCCCACAAATGATTGCCGTCATCGGCCCAGAATCAAACAAAGGCTTCGGCCGCGTCCGCGCGCACGACGGCGACGACCGACGACCGACGACCGACGAGCTACGACGACGAAGACGACGAAGACGACGACGACGACGACGACGACGACGACGACGACGACGACGACTGTGGACCAGACTCCTTCTCGGATCCCTACGCGGACGCCTATGCGGATCCCGATGCGCACGGCGGCAATGCCCGGAGCGCGCTGGGGGGGGGGAGCGTTGCGTCATGGGGGGGGTGGGCTGGCGGGGGCCATGACGCCCGTCATGCCCCAAGCAATGAAACACGCTACGAGAGAGAGAGAGAGAGAGAAACCGACCGAGCGCACTCAGCGCAACGAGTCTGTGTTCGATCACGCGCGCGAGCGCGTGCTCACAGAGATCTGGCCGCGAGGAGCATCGGGGACAGGGCGAGGAAGCTCCTAGGCAGGACGAGGGGGCACAGAAGCATGACCAGGGAGATCAGCGGCAGAAGCGCCCACAAGCACAGCGGCATGGCGGGGATCGTCAGCGGCAGGATCGCTATCGAGCTCCACTGCCAAGGTGGAGATCAGCTGCAAGTTCGCCGCGGTGCACTCCGGCGGCAGGGCGGGCAAGCCGGTAACTGCGCAGGCGGGCCTGAGCAGCGGAGCGGGCGACCTCCGGCGACGCGGGAGCGGGCGACCGGATGCTGGGGTGGAGGTGCGTCGCCACGGGCAGCTCTTGGACGACGTGGCGTCGAAGCGACAAGTGCAAAACGCGAACGGCAGGGTCGTCAGGGAGCGTCCGCCCGATGGTGTACAGTCGGAATTCATTGGACAGGACAGGCGAGAGGACAAAAGACCCTTCCGAGGGCCACACTGCCGTAGGAATGCATGAGGCACGGATCGCGAGACACAGGACACAAAGGTACCCTTGATTTGGCAGGGTCGACCTACTAATCCGGGCCGACTGTAGGAGATGGCCCATACCATGCGGCTGCTTGACATGTAATGTTTGAAATCGACGTTGCATGGATCCACTGCTCCACAGGCATGAGCATCAGGACGATAGCATGGTTCACCTCCAACTCGAGCACGACAGTCCGGACGGCAGCCAAACACACAGGCGTTGTCCAGCATGATGGACGATACGCCAGGAAGTGAGCCACCCTCCCGCCCAAGAACGAATGACCACCATCGCCCAAGACCATGGCGTACGGCGAAGCAGCTGGCGACGACCCTCCCAATCAATCTGCGCGAAGGTAAGAGGCCACCAAGAGGAACGGCACACAGTGAAGAGCTCATGCACACGGTCGCCGCCAGAAGCACGCAAAACAGCATCGCAGGCAGAACGCTGAAGCCGATGACGTACTCCAGGAGGGGGCGGGGGAGGAGAAAGGCACGCAGACGCTGCAGAAGGGCGCCATGCACCACAATAGTAACGATTATGGCAGGCGCCAGCAGCAGCATCGGCCAGAACTTCCACGACAGCCAGGGTCCGCCAGAATGGCGGGTCAGGAGGACCAGCGCGAAGCATGGCGAGGGCGCGATCATCTCCGAAAGACTCCGGTGCATCCTGAAGACGTCGTAGAATTCGTGCGTGCTCCGGGAAGCTGACGGTTGCCGCGCGAGCAACGGTGGAAGCCACGAGCCCCACCCAGGAGGTGATACGAGGGCCTCCCCAGTGCTGGAGTTGAGGCCGATCTCGAACTCTGAGAGCGCGCCGTTCGGGAAGCGAAAGGCAGATGCGACGTGTCACGATCCCTCCTTCAAGAACTCGGCGGGGGCGCGGGCGAGCTGGGCTACGTAGCTCAAAACTGGTGCAGCACGCGTGTTGTATAGGATGGCGGACATTGATGCTGGGGTCGCGCCACTGCCGACAGCCCGAGCCCTTGTGCGACGCTTGGCGAAAAGTCCCGCCCATGAGTCCAGAAGAGAAGCGCCGGGACCAAGCTGTAAGCCTACCCTACATACGTAAGCTGCGCGACGATCTGGAAAGCGTTCCAAGCAGGAACAATAGTATGTATGGTTTCGGCAAAGGCGCGGGCGACATGGTCAGAGAACGTGGCGTACAGAGAAAGAAAGAGAGAGAGAGAGAGAAAGAGAGGGAGAGACACGATGAGGAGAGGGAGGCGGATAAGCAGGGGAACTGATGATGATGATGATGATGAGGAGGAGGAGGAGGAGGAGGAGGAGGAGGAGGAGGAGGGCGAGGAGGAGGATACGAGGCGGGGAAATATCGGCAAGAGGTGGAAGCGCCTGATGCTGCGCCCACTGCTCGATGTCCTTCATCTTCGCCTGTTGCTGCCTCTGCCTCCTGGCCAGAGATGTACCCCTCCCTGTCTGTGGTTTTGGCCTGCCGCCTCCGCCGGCGAACAGCAAAAGCCACGATGAAACACGCGGGTGCCCGTCTTCGAGCCCATGCCAGCTCACCATCGGTCCCTGGCCCCCTCCGCGGGGTCCGTCTTGGCCAGTTCTTGGAGCCGTGCCTGTCTGGGGACACGAGAACCTTCGAGTGAAAACGTGGAGCATGCGACAAACCAGGGACAGGTGCACGACATGATAATCAGACCACACACATGTCATCGCACTTTCGCGCGTAATAGTGTTTCTGGAAAAGGGAAGACCAAACACATCTGAATGGAAAACATCGGTCCTCGATCGTCTTTGTTGCCGGGCCAAAATGTTATGCGGTGCTCTTCGGTCCACGGTTTGAGACATCTCAAAAAGGGCACCCGCTGGGAAGGTAGCTTCGTCGCGGGGGGGGGAGCTCTCTGCGAAAGGGGACTTTACGAAAAGAGGCCTGTTTCAAACGGGAGCAGGCAAAGGGGGAAAAGGGGAGGGGAGGAGGAGGAAGAAGAGGAGGAGGAAGAGGAGGAGGGGGAGGGAGAGGAGGAGGTAAGGAGGTAGGGGTAGCGAGAGGGGAGAGGAAAAGAAACAAGAGGAGGGGGATATGGAGGAAAAGGAGGAGGAGGGAAAGAAGGAGTGAGGAGGAGGAGGGAGAGGAGGAGGAGGAGGAGTGAATTGGCCACCGAGAACAGCAAAACATAGGCCGACCGACCCCATTTCGATACCGCGCAAGAGCCCCCACCGCCAAGCCACGTGCGAATACTACACACAGTACTGCACAGCAACAACCATCATGCGAACCAGGAGCGCTGCAATACTTGCCCAAAAAGCACGCCTGGACTCAGCTTCGAAACAAACTACTCGGCATTGAAGGGCACAAGTAAGCACAATACTGAAGCAACGACTTTCCAGCGATACGCTACACACAGTGTGGCACACAGTGTTCCCTCGAGGGTCCCAAGGTATTGCAGTTCGGCTACTTAGAAACTACCATGACATACTCAGCCGCGAGCTCCTGACTGGCGCAAGGCGCGCGCTCAGGTGCAACCGCGGTTTGCCAGACTGCGGCAGCCCATCGGGAAGCAGGGGCAGCGCTGACATCTGCCATCGGGCCGCCGTGGAGCACGCGCTCCGCCGTCAACGACGCCCGTCCGCGGGGCGGCGACCGAACGCTGATCAACGCATCGCGAGCGCATCTGCGCTCGTAGCCCGACATCCAAGCGCAGCCTTGAAGCCTGCAGAACGCGTGATGCCCGTGCGCTGCTCATCGCGACTCAACCATGTCCGAATACGCTGGGCTCAAGCACGTCGAAGCTCGAGCTGCCGAAAACGACGCTGACGCCCACGACGAGCTTTGCGAGCTGACCGAGCTTGCCCAAGAGCAACGTCAAAAACCGAGGCCCAGCGACGCATGTGTGACCGAACTGGTCGGAGGCCCTATGCTCAGAAGCTGCTGCGCTAGCGCTGCTGCTGATGACGGCGAGCTGGATATCGTGATAGCTTTGGGCTCTGGCATCTCCGCTGTGAAACCCAGCTTAAACGCGCCGCGGAGGCCGACGGTTGCTCCAGGAACGACGCGACGTAAAACATGATCACCAACAGCCGCGATCGCATCATTATCCGCGCGCGAGGGCATCTGGAACGACGGCGGGGCCTTGCAATGTCTCGCGAACGCGTCGGAGACACCGATGGCACATATTTTAACAAACGCATCGTTCATTTCACCTCCTGTTGGGAACCCGCTCGACGCGAACGGCGCCGCAGCAGGGGGGGCCGAACCGAATCTGGTCAACCTGGGGGCGCGCCGCGGATTGAGCGCGGTCTCGACCGCCCCTGGGATGCCCCACTGGGAAGCCCACGTTTTCAGAATCTCCTGGCCAAATGAGTAACCGCATCTCTCCATCCCTGTGAACCCCAAACAAAAACTAGTCCTGGGAAGCAGCGGCCCCCGAGACCGCCGCATGCACCCACGCGCATGATTCAGCGCTCTTGCCGGCGCCGAGACCGCTTCCATGCGCGCGCAAAGCTAGCCGGCAGCAGGATGGCACGGTGCCCGCCGGTTGGCATGGCAACGAGGGGAAAGACCACCCACGCGAAATGCCTCGGGAACGAACCGAGCTTCTCCGCCGCCTCGCACTGGGCGCGCAGTGTAGACGCGTCACGCGTCAGAACCACCAAGGAGGGCAATGTCCCGGATGGAAGTCCGCCAGCGTGGATGCCGCGAAGCACTTCGAACTGCGTCAATCGCAGCGCGCGGGGAATTGTCGCGCGGGCGGGGCCGCTGATGCACGCCGCTGCGCCTCCTGAGGAGCCTCCACCTCAGCCAGCAGGCATCATCGGGGCTGCCGGGGAACATGCCGGGCGCCGTCTCCGCCGCCGCAGGGCGCCACTGCGCGCCGCTGCTTCAGCATGGCCAGCCCCTGGAAGGCTTCGCGCCGTCACTCGCGCCATGACATGGCCTTGAGCATGGTCGGCTAGGTGGCGGCAGCGTCGAACTCCATCTCAAGGTTTTGCCCGCCCAGCGAGGCGCGCCCCCGCCATGGGCGCCGCCCGCTTGCTCCGCAGCGCGCAGCGCGAAGTGCGCGGCGCCGCCGCCCCCGCCGCCGCGCCGCCGTCGTCGGGGAAGAAGGCCTTGCTCGCCGCCGAACGGGGTGCCCGCGCCACAGGCTGCCAGTCCTTCGGGGTTCCGCGGATCAGCCGAGCGCCTTGGCCCCGCACTCGGGCGGCCTTCTTCTGCAAGGCTGCGCCCGCCGCGCGGCGACCGCGAACCCGGGGCGCCCCCCTGCGTCGCCCCCCCCCCCCCCGCGCCCGAGGACCCCGCCCAGCTCCGCGCGGCGACGTCGAACGCGAAGCGCGCCCCCACCGCGGGGCCCCCGTGAGATTCGGCGCGGCAGCTGCGCCGCGCAACCCATCCGCGTTGGAAATTGGCCCAGACATATCACCACCCAGCCCGCCCGCGCTGGGAGCGGGATGGGAACTGGCGGCGCCCGGCCCGCCCACGTTGGAAGTAAATCTGGAAATGGAGAGTCGCCGCAACTGCTGCGCGCGCGCGAGTTCAGACTCGCACCGCGCCCTTCACTGGGGCGCGCCTCCAACAAACACGCGCCCGCTTGAAGATCCAGGCTGCCGCGCTGCTCTCGAGACCCGCCTCGCCGCCGCTCCCGCTCGCCGCGGCCCCGCGCTCGCGCCGCGCGCGATGCAGCCATTCCAGACTCGACGCACCAAAACATCGCTATTGGCGTTTTCCTTCCTTCCATGGAAAGGCGCCCCTCGTCGAGCAAGACGTCGATGGCGCGTCGTTTCGCATGCGGGAGGGCCCAAGACGCTGGCCAACTCCCACTCGGCATCCCCGAAGAATACAACATGCCATGCGCTGCTGAGTCGCCCCCAGGCTGTCCGCGCCGTCTCCAGACTCGCCGCCTCCGCGGCCTCGCCCGCCAGCGCCCGGGCAGCGTCGAACGATCGCGGGCGCGGTCTCGGACCCGCCGGCGGCCGAACAGGGAGCCGCTCATAAGCGCAAGGGGCCAGCTGCTCGAGCTGAGCAGCTCCTCTGCGCAGGTGCAACAGGACGGGTTCGCGCCCCCCCCCCCCCGCGCCGACCCGCTGCTCTGCGAGCGCTTCCCACGCAGCGAACCAGATCATGAGACAGGATGAGAAAGCCGAGCGTCGAATGACTGCTAGCGGCCGCGCACGCGCGACGCAAAGGGGCCACGGTGATCAAGCCTACTTTGCGCGTAGAATTACTCTTCTCGATGACACTCGGTTCAAGGTTTTAAGCCGCACCAGCAGCGATGGGGGCCAGCGGCTTTCGAAACAGACGCGCCCGACGGCTGCAATGCGCGCGCGTTGACCTGGTCGAGGCCGACGAATGTATGCCCTCATGCAGAGTACCGCAAGTGGAGGCCATCTGGCGATATCTACCATGACCGACATCAATGGTCCTCGGATGATCTCACCACCTGCTGGTTTCCAGCGCATTCTCAAAGACAACCTGTCAAAGGCTACAACCCCAGCAGAATGAGCGCCTCCCTCGCGAACTTCAGATATGGACCACAGAACTCTGGAAACAATCGTACGTGCTGCAAGTTGGAGGTATGAAGCTGCTTCGGCACCAGTTCCGCTCTCCCGAACATCCAAACTAACGAGCTTACTCATACGCAGCCTGTCCGAAAGCGTTGGCCGACAATTGCCGCTAAAGGACCCGATGAACTGACGCAAGTTCGACACAAGCTCCCATCATGCTTAGCACCATTGCCTTGACTGGCATCTACACTCAGGGACGGGGAACCCGCGAAGGAGGACCTCGCTACCCAGGTTGTTGACCTGGTCCTGCAGCTGCGGGTGGGTAGCAGGAGCAAGGGCCTGCGGCGGAGGGGTCGGAGACGCTGCCAAACGAGCGCGCCTGACGCCCATGTCTGAGAGGCTCTTCTGACATTCGCGTTTGTCGCTCAGTGCCCGAAGTAGCTGATTCACATCATCGGCCATAATCCCATCCATCCATCGGATCATCGTCAACTGGTACACCAAGTCCTCCTGCTTTTTGCTGATGTGGACGAGCAGCTGGCGCAGGAGACGGTGCGGGGCCAGCAGTGGATGAAGGGTTTCGCATGCTGTTGGTCGACCTGCTTGAGCTGTGCGGGCATAGACTCTCGACGAAGGCCTTGAACTTAGGATCCACTTCCAAGACATCTTGGTCGAGCACCGGCTCTGGCGCTGGCGACATTGCAGGCGCAAGAGCGGTAGGCATGGTACGGCGAAGTCCTTCGTTAAGGGCCTCGGTCTCGCGTAGCAGAGCCACCTCTTTTTCTTGAAAATCGAGGAACGGCTTTTGCGCCTCAGCAATAACCTCCTCTCGAGTTACGACTGCATCCAACAATTTGTCATGCTTCTTCTGGACAGCCGGGAGGCAAACAAAAACACATTCGTCTATTTTGGGGTACTGGTCTGGGACTCCGTGCCACTTGACGTGCATCTCGCAACTGCTCCACCAAACAGTTCTGTGCAGGACCCGCGTCATCAACACCGTGGAGCTGTTTGGAAGCGTTGTCGAGGGAGTCGATACGGGCGGCCTTGATCTTGTCGTCTGCTGGAGTCGCCTGCCC